TTTAATTGCAGCGCCTCTTCCGCCCGGTGTTTCGCCTCGGAGCGAGCGCCAAGCTTCAAGGAGCTGGCAGATCGAATTTCCGCCAATCGTCCGGAATCGAGACGTCGCTCGTGCGTCTGCGAGAAGCAGATCCTAATACGCGCGCAGCCGCAAATCCATTTGGCGTGCAACAACCATGAGGGTTAACGTGATCACCGTTCGATTCTCCTCCGCCATTCTGTCCCCCATGCTAGGCATTACCTAGCTACCATGGGTCGCGCCACCATGGAGGAGGCACGCATCCGGTGTACGTGTCGCCTCGTCTCGCTGTGACTTATGCGTAATGCATGTACACGCGCACACGCACGTTGCGTGAGTGCATAACCCGATTATGTATGCGCGGCGTGTTGCAACGCAGTCGCAAACACACCGGCTCCCGCCGTGTCCGATCCGGCAATCTGCTCTAAATACGTCCGGCACAATGCCCACCGTGATGTGGGATCGCTGTAATGTCGTAAAGGCTCCAACCGAGAATCGTGTCGTATCGCGAGCGAGATCTCGCGATCGGGAGTGCTCCGGTGAGCGACGTGAAAATGGCACGAGGCTGGCAGATCGCTTCCTGTTTTGAATATTCGGGAGGCTGGTATTTTTTTCTTCTTCTTCTTTTTCATCGCATACGTAATACGAAACATCTGCGATTTGTCGACGTTGCTATTTCTCGGAGAATGAAATTCGTTTAGTAGTAGAATATATGTATAATATAGTATTACACACGCGCGTAATCGGATTAATATATTGTAGCTAATCATCGGTGCATAGAACGTGCACAGTGACGGACAGAATGGTTGCGACCATTTTTTTTTACGAGTTTAGGAACGTGCATTCAGGGCTACGTTCAAAAATCTTATTCTCCGAGGAACATTTTCCTTGAAACCATTTTGAACGTTTTCGATCTATTTCTCGAATAAAATTTTTCTCATCGAAAATGTTTTCGAACCTTAATCTAAATGCCCGTTTTTGAACTCATTTAAAAAAAGTGTTGCAGCCATTTTGTCCATCACTGTACATTATATTTTGTTATTGCAAATAACAGTCTCTCATCACAATTTCGTATTAATCATTTATCATCGCCAATTTCGACCAAACGATCAGCGAAGATTCTATAGTCGTCGAATTAAATGCTAAGCGAATTGTTTTAAAGCGGAGAAAAGTATTGTTGGTTGAGATTATAAATATGTATCTAAAATATAGAGAGAATTGATCTGTTGTGTCCCCAGGAATTTCTTTCTCAGAGACTTGAGAAATATACCGAACGCTTGGTTGGTCTAACAAGAAGAAGATATTTTATTTCGACGCACACGATGGTATCCCCTCGAAGTCTCAATCTCATTCCAGCGGCGTTTTCATCGGATTGCTTCGTCATCATTTGTTAAATAAAACTCTGAGCTCGGCTGTTCAGTTTGAAATAACAAACCAGAATGGAGTTTGCATAGACTGCACATAGGGACTGCACGAGCGGGCAAACGTTTTCGACTGTTTTTCTAACACCCTCGCCTCGCCACGGGAAAGCTGATCGCGCGACTTCGAGACCGCGTCTAAACACGTAGGTATCCGTGAACGTAAAGATTTGAACGCGAGAAAACTCACCGGGCCTACCGACAAACACAAACACAGCTCTTACAATCTCACTCCTTTCGATGGACGGTCACATCTCAAAAAAAAAGAATGTAGAATCAGAAAGTTTGTTTGAATCTACATTAATAGAACAACCCTCGGACCCATTTCTTTTTACGTGTGCGGGCAGCCTCGTAAATGAAAATTTCGTCCAAATATGAAAAATGCGAGATGATATCAAAGTAATTTTTTAATATCATATTATACTATATTCAGCGCCAAATGTACTAAATTAATTAATTTAACTTTTGTTTTTCCAGGACTCGAATCTATACGTAAATAGACCGCGATACGTTGGCACGGCACGATGTTCGTCGACAGGTAGTCACCTTAAACCGGGGCACTGCTATGGTTCCGGTGTTTGTGTCGTTTACTTTGCTACAAGCAATATTTAACAAATTGCTTTCGTTCCCCTTTGTCAGGTTTCTCTCATCGTCGTCGTCGTCGTCATCATTGGGCGCGTTCCCCGCCGAGGATTTATAGTTGCCCGCTTAACGATCACCTGCGAGGCTTCATTTGATGAATCGAGAGACAATGGGACGCTACGAAATGCTCGTCGATAAATACACGCCGACAGGATTGCGCAGCTAAATCCTGTACCCGACATTTCATTGTCGATTCACGATATCAGGTATAATACAATACCAATTTTGATGCTCGTTAATGAAAATTTCGCTCGTCATCGCAAATGAAAGCTACGTGGAATTAAAAGTAAATGAAAGTATTATTTATGTATCCATCAACATTTTAATTTTTGAGTATTACTGATTTCATATAAAAAATGTACTGTATACAATGAATATCTATGTGTGTATAATTATTACTTTTTACATTTTATGCATTTATTTCTTCTCTGTAAATATGCAACATATACCGGAATTTATACACCGACAATTGGATCGTACACAAGTTAAATGACCTAATCTTATACAAAACGTCATACTTAGGAAACATCCGCACAAATTGAGGGCTTTACGCTCCTTCAGTTTGTACTACAAAGGTAGTAGGGATTTGAAGGCTCCCGCGTCAATAGGCGTGTCTATTGAATAGGCCTATAATAATGTTTTTACATGGAATTATTTGCAAATACCTACTATCTTGATCGCAATTTTAGCCCGACAAAAAGAAATAAAGATCTTCTTTGGATTTAAAACTATTAAGTTGCAAACCATTCCGGTAAATTCTTTCACAATATAAGAAGGAACTACCTGTCGATAGCAAAATATAAAGCGATTAGCTCAAGTAATCCCCTGTCATGTTTGAAGAGAAATGCACCACTTGTTAAGGATGTTTCAAACCTGTCGCTAGGTGTTTCCGTTGGAATAGAATTATACATACACAGAGAGGATTTTTCTTAATCCTGAAAATCGTGTAATCATGGGGCAACGTAGCACTTTGAAGAACTTTATGATAGTTTTTGAAATTTTACCATTAAAATGTATACTAAGTTTAATTACTACTGAAATATATGACAAAATTTGAAAAACTCTCATAAAATTTTTCAAAATGCCATGTTGTCCCGCGATTACAATATTTTTCAGGATAAATCTTAAAAGAAAATTCTCTCCGTGTAGAATTGTACTTTTATCGTCATAAAATACACACAAGTTAAACTTCTCAAGTCGCAATCAACTCTTGCTTTCTAAACAGCGCATCTTAAGAAAAGCGTTAAAATGTTCCTGAAAGGTATTAGATTAAATAAAAGTTTGCGTTCTGTTGTCACAAGGACTTTGCCTTCGCAGCAATATTTTCCCGCTGCACCGAATATTACACGCGCCGTTAGCGATTTTAGAATGTATCGTTCTGTGTTCTAAATTTCTTTTTTAGATCGAGGTTGTTCCTCGCGTCATTACGAGTATGTCACTCGATAACGCATTGCCGGGCGTTATCGTCCTTACGTTTGCGTGTTGCAGCGATTGTTAGCTTCGGTATTAAGCGTGCCGTCGCCTGTGGAGGAACCACATTTGAAATATCGCCGTTCGCCTGTCATCTTTGTATGCTAATGTCTCGCACAGCAGTTCTTATCCTCGTGCATTCGAGCAGGCAGCTGACAACAGTGCGTGTCTATCCGCGGACAGGCCGCGCGGCGCGATCGCGTGTAGAAGTGATTTTACAGAAAACACGAAAGGCTATCGGCAAATTGACATCGCAGCTTGTCAATCGGCTGAAATCTCGACGCGTAATACTCGCCCCCCTGCTACGATTGTTTCGATCTTCACATTTGGCCGACAGCGATATTTTTGCAACGACACAAAAGACACTCGATAAAAGCGCAATTATTCGAGGAACATTCTGTGTACCTTCCTCTCGCGCGTATGTTTCTAAATGGAAAGTTTGCGACGATATCAATAGATATCTATCTAACTAAAACGTGTGCAATTGTTTGAAGAAAATCTTACATAACAAAACACGTTGCGCCGCGCAACGTTACGTATTAATGTCAATATCGGAAAAACTTCTGTCGATCAACGATATTACACGCGTCTCACGGTTCTTTATCTCTTCCCGAGCCTGTTAATTACCGTCACTCTGGTAAATTAGTTTCCTTCCTGGTCAGCCGCATATCTCGCGACTTGTTAATATCGCAATCACGGTAATAGATATGAAGAATGCACTCGTCTTTTTCGCGGGAATGAACATAAATTCCTTTTTTCGCCATCGGTCAGCTCAAGCATGCAACAAACGTTCATCTTGTGGCTTGTGTACATTAACTAATGGCCAAGTCTGACTTGTATTTGTCATCACGACAAATAGATTTCTCAGGTGCTCTCTGCACGTCGCCTAACGGCGCGCAGATGCGCGCGGAATGTTTCTGTCAACTCGGATATCATTTTTTTTAAGCGGACTCACAAATACGGCAGATCACGCGGAAAGATCGTCGGCGATGATCGTTGGACGAGCTCGACGGAAGGCCTTTCCGGGATTAAAAAAAAGCGCAGAGATATAGAAAGATAAGTGTGTAAAAATAAAGATACAAAAGTAGAAAATTAAGAGCTGCAAATGCAAAAATATATTTATAAAAAGATGAGAATTATAAGTCGTGGAAAAAGAATCTTGGAAAATTGCGAATTCCAGAGGAGCAATTAGCCCGGCGCTAGAACTGCTGGTACAACAAATCGAAACAATTACAAAAAAGGAAACACGTTTACGCGACCTTTGACGCGAGAGACAATTAATCGAAGCTCGCGCGGCGAAGCCGGTTCACCCATTTACACCGGTAATAACGCGCGGTGCTCCTTATCTCGAATAAAAACGCACGTCATGCGTTTATTATTTTCCTTCCCTTTCAAAGGAGTCGGGTCAATTAGCAAAGAGAGAGAGAGACAGAGAAAGACCGGGTGGATATATTCGTGGGAACAGAAACTTTATTAAAGTTCAGTTGCATCGAGACAGTAACAGAGAGAGAGGCCGCCGGCGTATGCTTACGAGGTAACTGTGAAAAAATGGTCTTGCGTTTCTCATCGGTGCGACATCGGTAACGCGATCGTTAATCGTCGCGATCGCGCGAACCGCGTATCTGAATTCTATACGCACAGGTACGTATACATCGATACATATACATATACATATACAAGGGGGAGGACCGGAGAGGGGGAGGAGTACTCGGGTTTGTACAGAATATATATATATATAATATATATATCTTCGTTTTTTTTTACCGTCTCTACCAACGTGGATTATACAATGGGGATGCGCTATGTTAGACCCTAAACGACTTTTATGTTACACTATGAACAAGCGGAGATCGCAATCAGTCTGACGTAATGCCCCGCGTACATCAGTTTCTCGTGCTGCCCTGTCCGGCAACCGGGCCGCGTATTTACAAAAAAATTCTAAATTCGCCGGTAGAATCTCTGTCGGCGACAAACGCGAGTCGTTCGTCTAAAAAAAATGGAGCAAATTATAAGTACTTCGGGAGACGTCGAACGGATCTGTTTCATATATCTTTCCTCTTATAAACTTATCTTCTTCCACGGTGGTATATAAAGGTGCTGCAATGGATATCATAAATGGATGCTTTACGTTAGACAAGCGTATTAACTTTAAGATATATTTACGGTACGGTTTGCCTGTCATTTTTAAGATAAACGAGCCGCGTTGGGATCGTCGATCGTCGTACGATGATTGGCGATCGTGCGACGACCGTCGGTTAGTCGTCGTGTGCTTTATAGATTCCACCGTCGAACTCCAGTCTATATATAATTTTTTCCTTAGACATTTATCTATATGATACACGTAAAAGTTCTCCGGGCACAGCCGGAGCTTGCTCCGTTCGAATTGCCAAACTCGAGTCGCTCTTCGTGCTCGATGAAGAGAAAGGTCGGTTGTCCGTCGACAAGAAGCTAGCTTCTGTTACACGAGAATCTCCGTTTATTAATCAGGAGGAAAATGAGATACTTGAGCCTCGCATCTAAATGACAAAATCCGCAGTTCAATGAAGCACGTCTGAAAAGTCGAAACGTTCCTGAAACATCTTCGCGAGACTTTCGTGGCTCTTTTGAACACTCATGTTGTACGGATATCCTGACTCAAGCGTCGAACGTGGAAGCGAATTAATTTTTTAATAGTCTATCTGAAACTTTGGTCATTATTTTCAAATCTAACAAAGACACGATTCTCCTTTCCACTTTCTGTCCCGTCTTTTCCCCGTTCAAGTCCCAACCAGACGGCAAGCGAGTCAGAACTTGACGCCGACGCGCAGAGCTTTTACACCCGGTCTACAACGAGTAACAACTCGTACGTGTCAATCCTTTTTCTTTCTGGGCGAAAGAAACAGGGCCGACGCATAGTTCCGACTTTGGACCCACGACTAGCCACTCATTGTAGCCCGGGCCTAACGCCAATAGCGTAAAACGATCAAAGACGCACAGTACGAATAGCACGCGAGAGCGTGACCCTCGTGTGACGCTAATAGAAACATAATCGGCACTAGATTGATCCGTTTCTTGCGTGGTCACGCTATACACACAACACCCGACAATTTTCCGCCTTGTCCACGTCGGAGGTCATCTTACGCGCATTCTTGTATACGCGTGCCACATTCATATCCGGAAAATATAAACCTCCAAGAGAGAATTCGAAACGTCTCACGAATACCTTTCAGACGTTTTCCCTCGTCTCGGCGCGTCTGGAAATACGGAGCGCTGAGAATGATACAGACCCTAAGCACGCACTCGTAACATGCGCGCGACTTCGATAATTAATACATATAAATGGTATATAAATATGATATAATATATTACATAAATATATATATAACAACATATACATAATAATATAAAAATAATACAAAGTGCAACATAGCTCTCCATTGTAACCGGTCTAAATGACCGTCCTTGTACAATTCAATTATTATTGCTCAGAGCCTCTATCATTCTCAGATCTTCGCCTACGGCGTATCTCACTTTTACCGCATTGTCTTGCCGTGACGAACTCTTACTCAATTCAAAGCCGAGGGAATCTGCTGTTTGTCAACTTACTTACGCTTATCTACTCATTAATTGAACGGGACAATTTCCCCCCTCGACGACTTTTCACCTTTTAATATTGCATATCCTTGCAACTAAGTTTCAATTAGAATTCTATTAAAGCTTAGTTAAAATATGATTTTATCACTTATCGCATTTTCCCCTGAGACTTGTCTGGTTTCTCATTGTTAAAAAATCTCTCGGTGTTCGTTCATTCGACAACGATGGGTTTAACGAGATTTTTGTCGAAAGAAAATTCGTCTCTACCAAATAAGCGAGTCTTTAGAAAACAGCGCGATACGAGCGGGACATATCGTAATGGAATACTCGAAAAGTTTTCGAAAGCGCGCGGTGAAAAGGAGAGACAAGATCGTGGACACTCGACAGACACGAGCAGCTACCTGTCGCGCGAACCGACCGACTGCTTCCGAGCCCTTCATTAGACGCTGGACCCGCCGGCGGAGTTAGCCGGGATGTAGTAATTCCTGACGTGTAGATGATTGTGAAGGTGTACAGCCGATAGCTGCTGCTGCTGCTGCTGTTGGCCGCCGCTTGGTACACTCTGATGGTTCCAATGAGCAGCCGGAGACACGACTTTGGGCATGTCCGGGCTGGCCGACGGCGGCGTGCTCGGCGACGGTAAGGCGTTCGCGTCGGCGACCACGTCGACATCGACATCCTCGTCGTCCTGATCGGCCTCCGGCAAATCGTGCAGCTCGTCCTCGCTGCAGCTGAACCTGCGCGACTTGGCCGGCCCTAAAACGTCCGCCTCGATCTGTTGTTGATCATCCGGCGCCAGGAGAGACGCCACGTCGAACTGGCGCTTCCTCGGCTGAAAGGACGATTGTCGAAGGGACTGGCTCTGGAAGGGATTCTGTTGCTGCTGCTGCTGCTGCTGTTGCTGCTGGTGGTGGTGATGCGGCGCCCATATCGCGGATATCGGTTGCGAGGCCACCGAAGGGCCGAGCGCCGTCGGGGGCGGCGGAGTGGCGGGCAAGGGTGGCGGGCTAGGGCTATCCGGCTCCTCGTCCACCGCCAGACCCATGTGCCGACGGACCTTACGTTGGGCCTTGCGCCGACGGAAATCGCCGCGCCGGAAGTCCTCCAGATTCGCCGGATGGATCGCCCAGTAGTGACCCTTGCCGTTGGCGCTCCTGCCGGACTTGACGAAGCAGTCGTTGAGCGAGAGATTGTGTCGGATGGAATTGCGCCAGCCGGGCCCGCGGGTGCGGAAGTAAGGATAATGTTCGAGGATGTGTTGGTAGATGTCGGACAGCACGAGCTTCTTCTCCGGCGACGACAGTATCGCCATGGCGATCAGGCCGATGTAACTGTGCTGGGGTTTCGGTTCTTCGGGTATCCGTTGGTGATGCGGGTGCAACAGCGCCATGGACAGTGCCAGTCGGCTGGGGTAACCCCCGGCGGCCGTCGGGTAGAGCGGCAGCGGCGCCGGAAATCCCGGGCTCATGCCCAGATGAGCCGTCGGCGCCCCCGAAGGCGGATGAGCCACGCCGGGGTGCTGCATCTGCTGCGCCAGCCGCAACCGTTCCGCCATCGCGTAATGATAGAGGTGCAGCCGATAGTGCTCGAGACCCGGCAGGAAGCTGGCCATCGGGTTACCCAAGCCAACGGCCAACGGCTCCTTCGCCGGCGGCGGACTCTCGTTGCTGCACATGACGATCAGCCAACTCGACACCGATCCTCGATTCTGGCCGGCGATCGTTTCACCGAACGTTCTCCCCGCGGGGGAGAAACGCTCGTCGCGATCGCGAACAGCGACGGTTCTTCGCGTTGGACTACGTGGTCATGGAATTGTCAGATTGGAGAACATCGGAGAAAATGGAGCACTTTGCCGCGCACTGAACTCCGCCGCCCGCTACTCCGGCTTCCGATGGTCCCGATATACGCGCGGGACTCTCAATGCCGGGCTCGTAAATTATCGCTCCGGGGGTGGCGACGTCGCGCCGCGCCGACAATCGCGGCAGTCCCTGTTTTCCCGACAGTTTTCACCCTGTTTGCCGCGATGCGCATCGAACAGCGGACTGTTCATGATTTACGATCCTCGGCCGAGTGCGACTGCCTCGCCGACGGGTTTTTCGTGCCGCTCAGTGCGCGGCCGCGCAAACGGAGACCGCCCATCGCGCGGGGAACATCTCGGTGCCCGACGGAGAGGGGACCAGCGAGTGTATCTGGTCGACGGGATCCTGCGCGGGGCCCGGCGGCGGCAGAGGGAACGCGAATGTCGGCGCGTCGTCCAATGGAAGAGCGGAGGGTCGGACGAAAATGGAACCCACCACCGGCCGTCACGCCTACGACGTCGCGATATTGATCCCGGCCGATGTAATCTGGCCGCCACGCCGGTGGTGGTAGTGGAGATGGTGACGGCCTTGATGATGGTGCGGCCGTCGTCGCCGCACCACGTCGCCGCTCTCTTATCTCTACGTGGCCTAACATAGCTCGATATCATAGCCGATCCTGGACCGGGGAGTTGAGGGACGATCGATGCGTGTTTCCCGTTTTCAGAGCGTGTGCTGCACCGTGAGTTTCGGAAATGGCATCCGCTTTCTCTGTCTACGTATCGCTCGCTTCCTCCCCACCTTGTGCGTGTCGTCATGGAGCTCGACGGCGGAGATCGAGACAGTCTTTCGAGATTGAGTGGCCTTATCTATGATTCTGACGCTTGTGCGGATCGTGATTTTGATTTCAGGTGAAAATCTCAAATAATGCGCGTGGTGTGGTCAAATGGCTACTTCGCTATTGGAAGGTACCTATTTTAATCACGTATGGCAGTCCCTAACAAGCTTGGCTTGTTATACTTAACGATTACATTACTTGTAGTTTTACACTCTGCTATTTTTCTTCTTTCTCTCTTTCGTCGTTAAAATATTTTTATATATGTCCGCTTATTTTAAATGAAAAAAAAGTTTCAAAAATCGCACTTGATATCTTATGCATGCACATTTTCCGATCGTTACAAAAATGCATATATGTATAATCTTTTAATATAATAGAGAATCTCGACGGCCGCTGTTACATTCCTCGGGATTATTTTAAGTCAAATCGTTAACAACCTAACTAAAACGTTTAGCAAAAATTGGAATCTATATCGCTGAAAAAATTAATATCATTGGAAAAGGTAATTTATTTTTAATCACAGATGGCCATTTTCACTACCTGACTCGTGCTAAGTTAACAAGTGACGTTCAAAAGGGCGCCGTGGCATTTAAGATGGCTGACTTTTGCGTCCATCTTCAATCTAAGTTACTATTAGAGCTTCTCGGGGGAATAACGAATACCTAATTCGTAAACTGGCTTCATTAAATAAATTAATGTCGCGACGTGAGGCTCGCCCGTTGACTTGCACGTTGCCCTCAGCAACCAGTTTTAATCAGATCTTCCTACAACCGATCCGAAATCCGACTCGCCGAATCGGACAGTCACGCTTCAAAGACGTCGCGCGGAGGGCCCGAAGGGGAGAAAGAACGGGGTGGTGGATCGTAGACTTCCGTCGGGCGCCCCTCCGGTCCTTTTTTTTCAGACCCGCGACCCTCTCTCGCCCGTCGGAGAATCCTTTCGGCCCGCGTGGCGCGATTCGCGGACAAAGGCGCGATAAAGGCGCCCGGGTTGCCCCGTTATACGTAGTCACCGCCCCGCAACTATTTGTAAGCATCCGCCATGCTGGTTTCATATCTGCCGTTTCGGCTTGCACAAAAACATTATTTTCAATCGCGCAGGAAGCGAGGGGAGGTAGGGAGGGCCGACTCAGCAATATGGCGTTTACCCTAACCGAAGGGGGTACGCGGGGGGGACGCGCGCGACGTGCGCGCGGATCGGCTCGGATTGCAATTGTTGCGACTCGTTGCAAATAACAGTCCGCCGTTCCCTCTCCCTCCCTTCCCCCCTCTTGCCCCCCTTCCCCGGATTTGCAGCCGGTATCTGCTTCCATCCCACCCTCCCTCCCTCCCTCCTGTTCCCCCCCGTCGCAGCTACTCGCGACTCTCTGCCGTGCGTGCCCGAGCCTCGCTGCTGGCAACGGAAATACAATGTTGCGTATCGACGCGGTGTGTAAACGTTCCATTGGCGGAGTCGCATGCCACTCGGTAGATCCCCGTACGTGCAACGGCTGCAGATAACGATATCGCGTTGTCTGCCGGCGAATGCGCACGGTCGAGCCCTCGGCGCGGACGTACTGTGCGGCTCCTGCTTTGGAAAATGACGCACATTATCGCGACTTTGTCGTCGGAAACCTGTCGGACGATTGCATTTCATTAGCAGTCACAATCACTTAAACATTTTCTTTCATTTTGTAATTAGATACGGAGAGACTTTTCTCTCAAATTTATTCTGAAAATCGTGTGGTCGTGGGACAACGTAGCCATTTTGAAGAACTGTATAAGAATTTTTGGAAATTTTACTATTAAAATGTACACTAAGTTTAATTACAAGTGAAATGTACGGTAATATTTAAAAAAACTCATAAAATTCTTCGAAATGCCATGTTGTCTCACAATCGCATAATTTTCAGGATAAATTTTAAGAGAAAATTCTCCCCGTGCAGCTTCTTCATTTCATTAGCAGTCACAATCACTTAAAAATTTTCTTTCATTTTGTAATTAGACACGGAGAGAATTTTCTCTTCAAATTTATTCTGAAAATCGTGCGGTCGTGGGACAACGTGGCCATTTTGAAGAACGGTATGAGAAGTTTTTGAAATTTTACTATTAAAATGTATACTAAGTTTAATTACTAGTGAAATGTACGGTAACATTTCAAAAAACTCATAAAATTCTTCGAAATGCCATGTTGTCTCACAATCGCATAATTTTCAGGATAAATTTTAAGAGAAAATTCTCCCCGTGCAGCTTCTTCAAATTATTATTACATATACATTCTGCAGCCAAGTAGTTGGGAAGAGGAAGATGTGTTTAGCATAGAAAACCAACTTAAAAAACACCACGTTTAATTTTCATTATCGAAAGTTTTCTCCTTGGACTTATTGTCATCAGTAAATACCTTTGTTGATAATTTTTAAGAAATATAATGGCACTTTTTATAAGAAAAACTTAGCTCCGGTATCTATTAAAAATGTGCCAGCGTAGTTTATTAGAGAGCAGCGCGAAATTTAATATAAGATTTAATATAATATCGTAAAGTTTTAATCGGGAAAGAATGTCTCGTGCATATCACATACGCGTGTGCCGCGCATAATTCTATTTGGCCAGAATTATGCTAATTATATTTATGTGTTTTCAGGCAATCGCGCGCGCGCAAATAAATAAATCCGACGGAGGCCGTTTTGAACGTAAGTACGGCTCTTAGAGCCGCATTTAACGGCAAATTTGCGCGAATATCGCGTCGTGTAAAAAGATGCAATTTCCCGGTATAATCCACTTTGCGCGCTTTTTCGCGCCACGATGGACCACCCCGGGTCTACGTAGCCGGGACATTGCATTATCGGCAACAGTGAAAATCGCGCGTAGATAGGCGCGATAAAACGCGCCTTTCAAAGGAGGCTCCTCCTCGAAATAACCGGGGACCGTATTTATGCTTGCGCGAAACAGGACCCCGGGAAAACGCGCACACGTAACTCTATATCCGGTCCGATCAGATACGATCGTCGCGCTAGCAAAAGGGAAACCGAAGAAGCCGAAAGGGAGGGCAATGAGTGGCGACGACGTCGACGACGAGGGGGGTGGCGAGTAAAGACGCTCTCGAATTCGCGCGGGGCACAAACTCGAGCGTCGAGAGATAAGATCGATCTCTCGTCGCGAGAGAGAAAGAGCGACTATACATATACGGCCGCGCGGGACGTGTTAAAAGCCGATCGGAGGTGGTTGCGCGAAACCAGAGCTCGCCGCCGCTGTCAAAACACAATAAAACGCGACGATCGAGGGAAGAATCGATCGATTCCGTGCGCGGTGGCCGCAACGACCCCCGGGGCCCCGGGTCGCGTACACAGGCGGGTTGCGTCTGTGTGGAAGATGCAGTCGATACGGATATATCGGGCCATTGTGCGTGCGGCTTGCGCGTTAAAACGCGAGTTCGCCATCTCTCTCCTTCTCTCCTCGCGCCGCGAATAATGGCGATAATTGTGACGAAGTGGTGCGTCATTGTGGGAAAAAAGGTACACCCCCGGGGCCCGCGATCGAGGGCGGTGGCGCGAGTAAGTGGCAGATGCATGGCGCTCCGTTGACAGCTTCTCCGATTTCCCTCCGCGTCCTCTCATCCGAGGACACATCCCTCCGCGAGCCTCTCTTCGTGCCCTGTCGAAAATTGGAACTGGCGAGCCTCTATCGCGCAATCGTTGCGCGTTTGCGTTCCTCGTTTCGAAATGTAGCGAATTCCTGTGACAGGCGGTCGAAAATAATAATCTAATACAGGAATGGAAAGAAATGAAGATTATAGATAAATGATATAAAAAGATTATGGTTATAAATAAGAATCTAATTTCATATTTTATATGTATAATTTAATTTCTTCCGCGAAATTCACATAAATGTATAATAAATAATTCTCTACATTTCATATGATTAGCTACTTTAAGGACAACAGAGAACACGAGCGAGTACTGCTTCGGAGAATAATTACATAATTCAGGATTTATGTACACAGTTGAACAATTTGTGTTAAATTTAACAGATATCACAGATACCACACAAATTTTTGTGTTAATTTAACATAATATGGATATGTTCGATGATCCCACTAATACTCTGTTAATATTTTAACACAAAGTAAATGCAAATCTCAAAGTAATTTGAAATAAGTTTTGTGTAAAATTAACATATTTTTTTATGACAAAATGAATTTAAAAAATGTAATTTTTACATTTTACAGATGTAATAAGTCAAATGACGGGTCAAAATCACTTTCACTTATATTATATAGAATAAAATCAACATTTTATTCTGTAAATTTCAACAGTTAAATTTTGTTACTAATAATATCGAACATATGTATTGTGTCAGATAACAAATAATTACACATTGTGTTGTTTTAACATTTCTTTTCAGTTATTTTAATAATTTTACATTCGAGGTCAATTAACACAAGAGCAATATGTTAAATTAACACATGAATGTGTTAAACCTTTAACACAACAATTTTAACCGGCATTTTTTTAAACAAAAATAAACGTGTATACCTACACAAATTTTTCAAT